CTGAACTGTGCTGTATCAGGCTTTTCTGAAAATTTCCATATTTGGTCATGTTCCAACAAAATCCTACTGGGGGGCTAACTTGACGCTCAGCCCCTCCAAAATTTTGGAAATCAGATTAAACATAATTGAATTCTTATCCAATCTGAAGTGTGCTGGATCAGGTTTTTCTCAAAATTTTCATATTCGGTTATTTTCCGACAAAATAATCATATTGGAGAGTGGGGAGCCAATCTAAAGCTCAGCCCCCCAAAATTTTGAAAATCAGATTAAACAAAATTGAATTCTTTTCCAATCTGAAGTGTACTGAACTCTGCTCTCTGCTGTATCAGGTTTTCTCAAAGTTTACATACCTTAAGAATTTTCCATTAGGTTTATATCGGAAAATGGCCAAACATGGAAACTTGGAATAACCTGATCAGGCACAATTCAGCACACTTCAGATTTAATAAGAATAAGAGTCCATTTTTCTTTGATCTGATTTCCAAATTTGGCATCAACTTAGCCCCCTCTTAGTTTTTTGTCGGAAAATGACCGAATATGGAAATTTTGAGAAAAATTTGATACAGCACAGTTCAGCACACTTCAGATTGGATAAGAATTCAATTTTATTCAAACTGATTTTCGAAATTTTGGGGGGGGGGGGGCTGAGCGTCAAGTTAGCCCTCCAGTAGGATTTTGTCGGTAAATGACCAAATATGAAAATTTTCAGAAAAACCTGATACAGCACAGTTTAGCACACTTCAAATTGGATAAGAATCCTTTTTGGTTTTATCTGATTTCCAAAGTTTTGGGGGGGGCTGAGCCTCAAGTTAGCCCCTTATCTATTTTTTCCTATAACTTTGTTACCGAAACGGCACAGTTCAAAATATCATCGGCACAGTAAAGCACACTTCGAGCACAGTAAGTGGTTGCAATGTTTTTAGAAAATTCGAATATGGGGGGGCTAACTTGACGCAGCTAGTTATAAGTACTTCAGTATTTAAACGATGAAATTTCAAATTTTTTTTTTTTTGAGATTTAGTGTCCTAATGGTCATTTGGGATCCCCCAAACTTCATAGACTAAATTATTCTCAGATATGAAGCAATTTTCAGGGATTGTAGTCCTTTATTGGACTAAGAATTACTGAAAATTTCAGCTTCCTATCTATGATTAGGGTTGAGAAAATTTCACTTTTTGCTGGTTCATGAAATTTCAGTTGAAATTTTCGTGAAACATGAAAACTCGCATGAAAAGTAATAGTATTTGATGAATTTCTCAAATTTGCTGAAGTTTATAAGATTTATTGAAATTTTCAAAAATTTCCAATGGACAATGAAATTTATGAGAAATTTAACAAAATTTTCATTGAAACTTCCACTTATGTACGTACCTCGAAAAATAAAATGAAAATTACTAAGTACCTACATAGTGTTCTATGTTATGTTTTGTGGTGTTAGGGTTTGGTAGATACCTACTTATAGTATGTGGTGATAAAAACAAAAATCCAATATATTTTAAAATAATTTTTATATTGAGTGTCTGTTCTTATATGTATCAAAATGTCACAATAATGGGAGAACATGGTGTCACTCCTTCTCCACCAGGTCCAATGTTGTAAGAGACTTATAGATACCTAACAGTGCCACTAAATTAAATATAAGATCTATTGAATATCTTGGTGTTAAAATCTACAACATCTTACCAGTGGAACTCAGAAGGATGACAGTTAACAAAAAAAAAAAATATGCATAACTAACTGTAGACAAGTTTTCATCCTTGCTTTAACTTGTTTAATTAATCAGGCTCAGAATTGTTTCCCTTTTTTTCTTTTCCTTTTGCGATAGTGTACACTAAAAATTCTTGATTATATTTAATTATTGTTTAAGGCCTGAGTTATCCAATTCCTTAATTTTTAATATTTGTCCTTAATTCTTAATTTTTGAAAAGTTCAATTTATTTACCATTGGTGTTTTTAAAGAATTAAGGAATTGGGTAACCCTGACCTAAGATATTTTGAATTAGAATTATCAAAATTCAATTTTATATGTGGTACGCGAGTGTTGTACATACAGAAATTTAGTTTTCTAGGTACCTAACAACACAGTATGTAGATATAATTTAAAGTTTATTATACCTACATTCCATATTTATTATTGTAAATCTTTTAAATTTGTGATATATTGAGTACCTACATATATTGAGTATTTATTTTAGATACCTACTCACCACACACATATATTAATATAATACAATACTTGTTTCAACAGAACAAAACAAAATGAAAACTAAAACACCTAAAGGATTTTTTAGCGACTAACCCTTTGTAACCCTGTTATAACTGAAAATATGATGTATAGTATACTTTCAGTTACCATTTAGGCCTAAGACACAATGAAAAATACAAGGTATAAGTGAAAAGAGACAAAAATATAATAACAGGTGTATAAATACTGTAACCCAATAGGAAAGCATACTTACAGGATAAAATTTCCTTTTTTTTTTAAATAATTTTCAAATATAAATATAAATAGTTATTTGTTTTACTAGGCAGAAAAGTACAAGATTTAATGCCGCGGCTGGTGTTTCATAGCCGTGGCTAGGAAACCAGCCGAGGCATTAAATCTGCTTTTCTGCCATGTAAAACATATAATTTTCTCTCCGAATGTTCAAATTCACACATGGACATCTTTTTTATATTTATTTCATTCATTATTATTATCCAAATAATTAAATTATTTTGACAATTGTCATTGCCACCATCAATTTCAAATACCAAATTGAATGAAATTATTACCTGGAACGTTGTGACACTGTCACTTTCAATGCCTAGGCAGTAAAAGTCCACTTTTACTGCCTAGGCAGTAAAAATACAACTTTTGATTCTGTCAAGTGTCATTAAAAAGCCGCTTTTACAGTCATTCGGAGAAAAACGAATTTTTGGTATTTTATATTTTGTATCTTGTATTTGTCATTGTGTTTTCAGCCTTATAACAGGGTTATAAATGGTTAGTCGCTAAAAAATCCTTGTTGTTAAAGTCTGTTTTTTTTTTTAAATAATTCCCCAAGTCAAAAATTTAATAACTATGTTGGCAGCACAAGCCTTTTCTACATAAAAATTTGAAAGCATTGACAATTTTACATTGTATTGCCAACATAATGTCACTTTGACTTATATTTAAAAAAAAACAGATTTTAGGTACTTATTATTAAGTCAGTGTTGTCAGCTCACCTCACTGCTGGTCTAATCCTGTCTCGTTTGCTAGTTCGCATGTAAATCGCGAAATTTTACATGCAATGTTGACATTTTGAGAAATTTCAGCATTCTATCTTTGATAGAAAAAAAGTTATGACCTTTCAAAGTTTTCTAAAATCTCAATCATAAGGTTCCTTCTTACTAAAACCATGAATTTTTTTTTTTTTTTTTGAGATTTTGTGTCATAATGGTCCTTTGGGATCCCCCAAACTCCATACACTAAATTATTCCGAGATATGAAGCCGAAATCTATGAAAAAAGGCACTCAGAAAAATTGATAAATCACCCCGAATTGCTTAACACGTATTTATCTCAGGAATTATAAGTCCAAATGAGTTGAAATTTTCAGGGATTGTAGTCCTCTACTGGGATAAGAATCGCTGAAAATTTCAACATTCTATCTTTGACAGAAAAAAAGTTATGACCTTTGAAATTTTTCCAAAATCTAAATTATAAGGTTACTGAAACCATGAAACTTCAAATTTTTTTTGTTCAGATTTTGTGTCCTATTTGTCCTTTGGGATCCCCCAAATTCCATACATTAAATTATTCCGAGATACGAAGCCGAAATCTATGAAAAAAGGCACTCAGAAAAATTGAAAAATTGATAAATCACCCCAAATTGCTTAACACGATTTTATCTCAGGAATTATAAGTCCAAATGAGTTGAAATTTTCAGGGATTGTAGTCCTCTACTGGGATAAAAATCGCTGAAAATTTCAGCTTTCTATCTTTGATAGAAAAAAAGTTATGACCTTTGAAAGTTTTCCAAAATCTAAATCATAAGGTACCTACCGAGGTACCTACCTTCTTACTAAAACGACGAAATTTCATTTTTTTGTTGTTGAGATTCTGTGTCTTAATGGTCCTTTGGGATCCCCCCAACTCCATACACTAAATTATTCTGAGATTTGGAACCAGATTCTATGAAAAATGGCACTCAGAAAAATTGAAAAATTGATAAATCACCCCAAATTGCTTAACACGATTTTATTTCTGGAACTATAAGTTCAAATGAGCTGAAATTTTCAGGGATTGTAGTCCTCTACTGGGATAAGAATCGTTGAAAATTTCAGCTTTATATCTCTCATAGAAAAAAGTTATGATTTTTCAAAGTTTACAAAAATGAAAATCCTAAAATGCTGCATGTAACTGAGTTTCTTTATTTAAAAGATTACATCAAATGGACACAAACGTCTAGAAATTCCATTTCCATAGAAAAAAATGATGTGATTGAACTTCTTTGTTCTACAGTTACAAAATTTTACTGAAAACTCTTTTGTGTTTCTGTATCTTCAAGATCTAAGAATCTTTTCGGATCACAGACGACTTATTAGAAACGCTTTCCGCTATTGTTTATAATAATTTCAATATATCCTTTCCAATTATTAATTTAAAGAAAAGAAAACGTAAGTCTTGGTATTGGCCAAGGATTAGTGATTACATATCTCTGCTCTGGGAAAACTGTGTGTTCTCTTCACTGACTTCACTACATAAGAAAATACTCCATGAACAACCAAGATTCCACTTACCTAATACTTTTATATCCTAAAGTTCACCAAAACTCAATAAGACTCGCTCCATGCTACAAGAGTTTTAGGAAGCAGGTCATAGCTTTTTTGGTTTTAATGTCACTATTCCCAAGTTTTTCTGTATTTATACAAATTCTCACTTTTACTATTAACGATTGCAACTAAAACAAAGCCAATTTCTATTACATTATAGTAAACATTTTTGATCAAAGAAATACCCAATATTGCTTCCAGATACACTAATGTTCATGTAGGAACTCCAGACGTTGACGAGGGGTTTAACATAAGCAAACCCACCACACCGCACGAATGCAGACTGAGAGACATGACTTATTCAGCCCCAATTTCCGTTGACATCGAATACACAAGAGGCACTCAAAGGGTGGCAAAATCTGGCTTTTTAATCGGACGGTAATATACTTTAGCCCTATTACTTTATTTAAAAAAATAACTAATTCTTTGTAGAATGCCTATAATGTTAAAATCCTCCAATTGCGTCCTAAGTAACAAATCCGAATACGAGCTAGCAAAAATGAATGAATGCCCTTTGGACCCTGGTGGCTATTTCGTAGTAAAAGGCCAAGAAAAAGTAATCCTAATACAAGAGCAACTCTCAAAAAACAGAATGCTGGTGGAAGAAGGCAAATGGGGCATCCAATGCCAAGTCACTAGTTCCACCCACGAAAAAAAATCTAGGACGATGGTTTTCCACAAGGGCAACAAATACTTTATGGGGCACAATTTGTTCACCGATCCCATACCTATTTCAATAGTTTTCAAAGCTATGGATATATTGAGCGATAGGGAAATTTGCGAGTTGATTGGTGTGGCTGATGTGAATAAGCTGACACCTACTTTGGAAGAATGTCACAAGTTGAAGATTTACACTCAGGAGGCTGCTTTGAAGTATTTGGGAAGCAAGATTATATCTAAAAGGTATTTGATTTTACTGTGAAAATTATCCATGTAAATTTAAAACTCAAACAATCAAAATTACTACATAATTTAATTTTGTGATAGAAAGAACTTAAAATTAGACAAGTAATAAAGTAAGTTCCCACTAGATAATTTACTGCCCCACGTTGGGCGCCAAATTGCAACGCTCAAAAATAATGCTTATTGCAAAACTCAATTCCTAGAATCTGGAGGTAGGAAAGAACTGGAAGTCGGATTTCATCAAGTGAGGGAACTGTAGAGGCCGCCAGCTTTTAGACAGGGAGACACGCATGGGTTGAGTTCTTGGTTTGAGCACCACATGATTATCAAATAGCTCTCACTTGAGAACCTGATTTCCAGTTTTTTCCTACCTCAAGATTCTAGGAGTTGAGCTTTGCATTAGGCATTATTTTTGAGCGTTGTATTTTGGCGCCCAACGTGAGGCAGTCTTCTTACACATCCTTGCCACATAAGACTCATTTTTCCAGGTATGCATCTTCAATATACCAAGTGAAAACTCCCACAGCAGAAGCCCGAGATCTACTAGCAACAACAGTTTTAGCCCACGTGCCAGTGGAAAAATTCCAATTCAAATCCAAAGCTATTTATTTAGGCCTTATGGTAAAACGAGTAATTCAAGCTCAATCAGACAAAAAGTTCCTGGATGACCGTGACTATTACGGCAATAAGCGTATGGAATTAGCAGGCTCTTTGGTGTCCCTAATGTTCGAGGATGTATTCAAAAGATTCAATTACGAATTGAAATCCATAGCCGAGAAAACTATACCTAAAATACGTGCCACACAATTTGACGTAGTCAAATATATGAGACCAGAACTTATTACAAATTGTTTGGTTTTTGCAATATCAACAGGCAACTGGACAATAAAACGTTTCAGAATGGAACGTCTGGGGGTAACTCAAGTATTGTCCAGGTTGAGTTACATTTCAGCTTTGGGCATGATGACTAGGGTGAATTCTCAGTTTGAATCGACTAGGAAAGTTTCAGGGCCTCGTAGTTTGCAACCCAGCCAATGGGGGATGCTTTGTCCTAGTGATACACCTGAAGGAGAAGTAAGAAAAAATATGTATTAACCATTGGCAATTATTTTTTGTTTTGTAGGCTTGTGGCTTAGTAAAAAATCTAGCATTGATGACCCATATAACAACAGACATTGATGAATACCCTATAATAAGGCTGGTAAGAAATGCTGGCATGGAAGATATTGGGATGGTTGCTAGTATTGCTATACATTCCTCTGAAGCTTTTCTGGTATTTTTAAATGGTAAGCAACTAAGCAGCAAAAAACTTAAATTAATGAAATCTTCTTACACAGGTAATATTTTGGGAGTGGTAACCGACTACAAAAAACTCATCAACATATTTCGGTTGATGAGACGTCATGGTATGATATCGAATTATGTGTCTATATATCCCAGTTTTCTGCATCAATGTGTCTATATTAGTTGCGACGGTGGTCGTTTATGTAGGCCTTATATTATAGTCCAAAACGGTTGTCCCTTAGTTAATGAACTTCATATAACCGAACTACAGAAGGGCATTAGGAGTTTTGAGGATTTTTTAAATGATGGTAACTTGTCAATTTTTTGTTGATTAGAAATCTTCATTATTCTTGTTTTTAGGCCTTATAGAATTCCTAGACGTAAACGAAGAAAACGATAGCTTTATAGCCTGTTACGAAAAAGACATTACGCAACAAACTACCCATTTAGAAATAGCCACGTTTACACTGTTGGGTGTTTGCGCTGGACTGGTACCGTATCCCCATCACAATCAGAGTCCCAGAAACACTTACCAGTGCGCCATGGGAAAACAAGCAATGGGTAAATAGTATGATGATATGTAAAAATCTCAATAAACATTTGTTTGTTTAAGGTACTATCGGTTATAATCAAAGAAACCGCATGGACACTTTACTTTACAACTTGGTGTATCCTCAAGCTCCAATGTGCAAAACAAAATCCATTGAGCTGTCTAATTTTGATAAGTTACCTGCAGGACAAAATGCTACTATAGCGGTTATGAGCTACAGCGGATACGATATTGAAGATGCTTTGGTTTTGAATAAGGTAAGGTATCCAAAATTTTTAAACATTGATTGTGGACCAATGAAAAATCTCTTTACCTTATCATCATCTTGGGAAAATGAATATATTATGGATTTCATTTACAGTGTATTTTTTGCAAAGTGGATTATGGACTTTTGGTACATTATTACTACTTGCCTAAAAATTTTTTTTGGATTTTCAATAAATTTTTCTTATTTCTTGTTATCTTCGTCTCAATTTTTGTCTATTCCAGGCTTTTGAATTTTTGTTTGAGTGGAAATAGAAAAACTTACTGTTCAAGGAGGTTGGTTCCAAAAAAAATAGAGTCCACAATTTTCTGTTTCTTATTTTTATATTGAATAATGTTCTGTCACTGCAAAACTATTAGAGCTGCATTGAAATTATTCATTAGAAATTTGTAAAGAATTTGATTGGCTTTATTTTGAGCCTAATTACGTTAATATCGGATTGAAATTAACGTAACTATGGGGCAAAAATTGTCTCAGTGTCATTTTAGGAAAATTTTCAATGTTTGATAATTTCAATTTTGAAGCTTCTCAGCTGCAGAACTGTTGAAACGAAATTGAAGTCTTAATAAACAGGTTTGTAGAGAATTTAATTGGCTTTAATTAGAGCCTAATTTCGTTGAAATCAGATGAAAATTAAAGGAGCCATGACCTGTGAGGCAAAAGCTGTCACAATATCATTTTTGGAAAATTCTCAATACTCAATAAATTCAATTTTGAAACTTCTCAGGTCAGGTGCAGAATTGTTGATAGCAAATTTGGAGCGTTCTTATATACTATAGAAAGTTTTAAATTAATGCTTAAGTCAGGTCAGGTGCAAAATTGACGATAGCAAGTTTAGAGCGTTCTTATATACTTTAAATTAATGCAAAAATTTTAATGATTTTTAGGTTGTTCTGGAACTTGTTTATTAGTTCCAGAGTGGTACTGCGTATTCTTTCGAGTGAGCTTTTTAAAATATTACTGAAAGTTCAAAAGCGTTCTGGCCTAGAATATTTCCAAAAATTTTAAAATGATTCTTAACTGTTCTTCAATATTTCTAAATATTCTAAATTGTTGTGAACAAGGGTAAAATAACAAAAAATTAAAATTGAAAATCATTTGATGCTCATTACAATTCTAAAATCGTTCTGTGAGGCTTAGAAGTGTTAAATTTTCCTGAAAAAAGTGAAAGGGAAAATTTAAAACTTTCTACATGTAAAGAGGAAGGTGAGAAGTTGACTGAATCAGTTGAAAATACAGTCTCACATGTCTCAAAGTTTTCCTGGAAAAGTAGTAGAGGGAAAATTTTGAAACTTTTTGCATGTAAAGAAGAAGGTAAGAAGCTCATTTTCCCAAAATTTCAAATTTTTCCAATGGAAAATAGCAACATGAAAAATCTTGGAAATCAACCTACAATAACTAAATTAATTGAAAATACAGTCTCACACATTTCAAAGATTTCCTGGAAAACTAGTGAAGGGAAAATTTTGAAACTTTTTGCATGTAGAGAGAAAGGTGAAAAGCTCATTTTCTCAAAATTTCAAATTTTTCGAGTAGAAAATTACAACATGAGGAATCTTGGAAATCAACCTACAATAACTGAATTAATTGAAAATACAGTCACTTATTTCAAAGTTTTCCTGAAAAACTAGTGGAGGAAAAATTTTGAAACGTTTTGCACGTAAAGAGGAAGGTAAGAAGCTCATTTTCCCAAAGTTTCAAATTTTTGTAGAAAAAAATATCAACATGAAAAATCTTGGAAATCAACCTACAAAAACTGAATTAGTTGAAAATACAGTCTCACACGTCTCAAAGTTCTCCTGGAAAAGTAGTAAAGGAAAAATTTTGAAACTTTTTGCATGTAAAGAAGAAGGTAAGAAGCTCATTTTCCCAAAATTTCAAATTTTTCCAATGGAAAATAGCAACATGAAAAATCTTGGAAATCAACCTACAATAACTAAATTAATTGAAAATACAGTCTCACACATTTCAAAGATTTCCTGGAAAACTAGTGAAGGGAAAATTTTGAAACTTTTTGCATGTAGAGAGAAAGGTGAAAAGCTCATTTTCTCAAAATTTCAAATTTTTCGAGTAGAAAATTACAACATGAGGAATCTTGGAAATCAACCTACAATAACTGAATTAATTGAAAATACAGTCACTTATTTCAAAGTTTTCCTGAAAAACTAGTGGAGGAAAAATTTTGAAACGTTTTGCACGTAAAGAGGAAGGTAAGAAGCTCATTTTCCCAAAGTTTCAAATTTTTGTAGAAAAAAATATCAACATGAAAAATCTTGGAAATCAACCTACAAAAACTGAATTAGTTGAAAATACAGTCTCACACGTCTCAAAGTTCTCCTGGAAAAGTAGTAAAGGAAAAATTTTGAAACTTTTTGCATGTAAAGAAGAAGGTAAGAAGCTCATTTTCCCAAAATTTCAAATTTTTCCAGTGGAAAACAGCAACATGAAAAATCTTGGAAATCAACCTACAATAACTGAATTAATTGAAAATATAGTCTCACACATTTCAAAAATTTCCTGGAAAACTAGTGAAGGGAAAAATTTTAAACTTTTTCCATGTAAAGAGGAAGGTGAGAAACTCATTTTCCCAGAATTTCAAATTTTTCCAGTAGAAAATTACAACATGAGGAATCTTGAAAATCAACCTACAATAACTGAATTATTTGAAAATACAGTCTCACATATTTCAAAGTTTTCCTGAAAAACTAGTGGAGGAAAAATTTTGAAACGTTTTGCATGTAAAGAGGAAGGTAAGAAGCTCATTTTCCCAAAGTTTCAAATTTTTGTAGAAAAAAATACCAACATGAAAAATCTTGGAAATCAACCTACAAAAACTGAATAAGTTGAAAATACAGTCTCACACATTTCAAAGTTTTCCTGGAAAACTAGTGAAGGCAAAATTTTGAAACTTTTTGCGTGTAGAGAGGAAGGTGAGAAGCTCATTTTCCCAAAATTTCAAATATTTTTTCAGTGGAAAATAACAACATGAAAAATCTTGTAAATCAGCCTACAAAAACTGTATTCATTATTCTTTTGAATTTTTTAAATTTGAACATTTCCTTTAAATTCCTCATAAATTCCTCACAAATTCCCTCAAATTTCTCATAAATTCATCCAAATTCCCTATAAATTCCCCAAATTTTCATAAATTCGGATGAGTTCCTCACAAATTCCTCACAAATTCCTCTAAATTTCCCACAAATTCCTCTAAATTCCCCACATTTTTGGCAAAGAATTCCCAGGTGGTTTGCCCCTTGACACAAATTCGTGAATAAGTATTAGGATCTCGGTAACCATTTGGGATACATACACACAACCTTCACTTTTAGACCTCCTAAAATCGATTTAGGCAAGAATTTGAGCATTGTCCCTATCTGGGGTGGTGCATATGAAAAACACCTCCCTTAAAAATTATTCAAAAACATATTATCAAAGTTATATTAAATAAGCTAAAATCTTACGCAACAGAATTGATTTTTTGGAATACTTCACTTATGGATTTTGATACTATTTACAATATGGTGTGAGTTAATTAAGGGAATTAAATAACCTACAAAATTTTTTCTTATTGAGATTTCAGGCCGTTTTCGTCTTAGACATATTAGCCGTCAAAGTTGAAATTTTGTGTAATTTAGGGCTCAAAAACTAATGTCACGGCCACTTAGGAACGTTCTTCCATAGCTTCAACTACAAACTGCTGATATTCTGAATTGTAGGGTTCTATAATATAGCATTTCAGAGTAAATTTTTTCAGGCTTCACTCGACAGAGGTTTCGGCAGATGCCTGGTATACAAAAACTCAAAATGTATCATGAAAAGATATCCGAATCAAACTTACGACAGAATCCAAGGGCCTATGGTAGACGCCCAGACAAATCAACCTTTGTGGAAACACAAATGTTTGGACAATGACGGCATCGTTAGTCCTGGAGAACAAATCGAAAACAGACAGGTACGAATTTATGAGTATATCAAATACAATACGATTAAAATCACTGAAATTTTTTCTATATAGGTTCTAGTTAACAAATCTATCCCATCTCTCACTTCAGTAGTACCAGTACCGGGTGCTGCAGCAAACAACTCAGTAGAATACAAAGACACACCTCTAGGCTACAAAAATGTGGAACCCAGCTACATAGAAAAAGTCCTAATAAGTACAAACGAAGAAGACACCACTTTGATTAAAATTCTCTTAAGACAAACTCGTAGGCCTGAAATAGGCGACAAATTCAGTTCCAGGCACGGCCAAAAAGGAGTCGTAGGCCTGATAGTTGAACAAGAGGACATGCCTTTTAACGAATACGGCATTTGCCCTGATATTATAATGAACCCACATGGATATCCTTCTAGAATGACTGTTGGGAAATTATTAGAGCTACTTTCAGGCAAAGCAGGTACTGTAGAAGGCAAATTCCATTATGGTACAGCTTTCGGTGGCTCAAAAGTCGAAGACGTAGGTGAAGAACTAATCAAACATGGCTACAACTATCAAGGGAAAGATGTTTTTTATTCGGGAATTACAGGAGAACCTCTTGAAGCGTATATTTATTCAGGGCCTGTTTATTATCAGAAATTAAAACATATGGTGCAAGATAAAATCCACGCAAGGGCTCGAGGTCCTAGAGCGGTACTCACTAGACAACCTACCGAAGGTAAAAGTAGAGACGGAGGTTTGCGTTTGGGCGAAATGGAGAGGGATTGTCTTATTGGTTACGGTGCCAGCATGATGTTAGTTGAAAGGTTGATGGTTTCTAGTGACCAATGTGAAGTGGATGTTTGCAACCAATGCGGTAGGTTGGGGTATTGCGGTTGGTGTAACAGCTGCAAGAGTTCCGGACAAGTTTCTACTATAACGATGCCTTATGCCTGTAAATTATTGCTTACAGAGTTGCAGGCTATGAATATTACTGCTAGGTTAACTTTGAGCCATTATTGTAAATAAATAAGTAATTTCGATTAGTTGTTTTATTTATTTTCGTTTTGTATTTGTATGTCTTCCCAGAGCATAGAACATTTTTATATTATTTGCAACTTTTAACTCAAGGTATAGTTGCAACCTGACTACAAAACCAAAAACAATTTCCAACCATTAATTGGAATAATGCAACATCTGCTTCAGATTTTTACATAAATAAATAACGTCCATATTATGTGAAATTAATAGTTAGAGGGAGTTTTTGAATCATCATCTTCTGGTTTCAATATTTAAAAAGAGAAATGGTAAATAGGTACCTAAATAATTTCATTCTGTATTGTCAGATTACACTGAGAAAAACACGTTAACTAAGCACGTGGGTTTTTTTCCAAAAAACGACATTGGAAGACATTTTATTTTTTCTTTGATAAAAATGTTGGTATATTAAACACACTGAAGTGCCTAAATAGAAAAGAACTAGTCATTTCTGCCTAATTAGGTTGTAAGATCATCAAAGTCGCTAAGTTCAATCAAAATTTTGAAAATTTATGCATCACTATTCAAATATAGGTAGGTACCTACTTAAAGATTCAAAAGACTCATGATTCAGTATTGCAATCTTTGAAAAATCCAAATGCATTTTAGAGTCAAGATTCTGAATCCTCTGAACGACAGAATCCCTGAAGACTTCAGTTTCGATGTTGAAAACTTTGAAAAATCAAGAGTTTAGATTTCAAAGTTATAAGCTTCCAGAACGAATGCAAACTTCGAGGATTTTATGAGTCAAAAATACTGACAGTGCTGAAAACTGTGAATAATTACAATAACAATTTTGTGAAGTCAATTTTGTTCATCGATGAATCCCGCTTTCGCAGTAATCCAATGTTCAACTGGCAGAATTCACGGTATTAGTCTCAAAATAATTGAAAAATTATAAGTCCTGGTCGGTTTCAGGAAAGATTTGGTGTTAATGTTTGGACGGGGTTTTTGGGAAATCGAAGTTTTGGACCAATTTTATTTCAAGGAACTCTCAGTTAGGTATTTGCAATTCCTTATGAATCAAATTCGGAATGATTTTAGACAATCTTCTCCTTCAGTCACTTTGTTCGATTTACTTCCACCTTATAATACGAGGGATGTTTCGCAACATTTATGGAAAATTTTTGGCGAACATGAACCTGTTAGGTGGCCAGCAAGGTCGCCAGATTTAACTCCTAAAGGACTTTTTTTGTGGGGATACATTGAAGTTTATTGCTTACGTCACTCCAGAATTCGATCTCCAATGCTTGGAATAGCGAATTTTAAATGCCTTTGGAACAATTACTCTAGAGATGCTGCTACCCTATTTAGTAGCAGAGAACAATACCTTAGCAAATGAAGACAATGTCTTGCCCAAAATGGTGGCCATTTCGAGCAAATGTAAAAGGTTTACGCCAAATCGGTTCATCATTTGCATTTGAAAATAGAGATTTTTCAAAAATTGATGGGTTATTCATCAGCGGATTTTGAAAATGTTGATATCAAAAAATAGAGGAAAAAATCTAGCTTCAAAAAATTGATGTCCCGGCATGGTTACATTTGAAAAAAAGGATACTTTGAAAAAACCTTATTGTTCAATTTCTCAAAAATGGTCCTATCATATGCAAATTGATCCCCTGATGCCAGAAAACTTGAAAAATACCGGGTGTCCAATTTGAAAATCAAAAGTTATGACTAGGGAAAGGCAAATATGCATATGAAAGTATAGGAAATATGCGCATATATATGCATATATTTTAGTCAAAATATGCAAGTATTATTGAAAATATGCATAAAGAAATTTCAAAAAATAAACACTGTTGGATTGTTGATGATATATATTTTACTACAAGAGGAGCAGTAAACCTTCCCCATGTCAATATACATTTCTTTGTATGGTTTTATCCATATGGAGATACTTGCACTTGAAACTTTAGGCATTTTCACAAAAATTTGAACGGAGCTGTATAAACGATGCACAGTACACAAAATCACAACTTTGAATGAATATGGACATCTTCAAAAATCGATACTTACTATAAATATTTATTGCTCTACTTCCAGGCAAGTAGGTCCCAAATTACGTACATACTCAGGTAGGTAGTTAATGGTTGAATTAGGTTTTAATCACCAGTATGAATAGTGGTGCAATTTCCATAACAAGGCTCAGTGAAGGATCTTTCGTGGTGGGTTTTCCGGTAATTACGTACCTGCTGAATGGTTGAATATTTAAAAATTCTTTCTTTCATTGAAACCTTTTGTCTAAATTTGATAGATTTTATGCACTATTTTCAGGTTTTCGAAGAAATATGCAGAATGAAATAAAAATGCATAAAATATGCAAATTATGCAAAATATGCACTTTGCATATATGCCTTTCTCTAGTTATGACCATTTCCAGTTGAACTAGAAATGACTGGTAACAAAATTTACTTCTAAATCAATGAAAAAAGTTGCCGTTTAAGCTTCCTAAATTTCAAATTTTCAACTTAATATATTAAAAAAGTTATAAGTTGTTCCCTATTCCTTGTGTCACCCTGTATTACTACAAAAACTTAACAAGTGTCTTAACATAGTCAGGGGCGGATGGGCCCACCGGGATACCGGGAGATTTCCCGGTGCGCCAGTCCTTCAGGCGCCGCCGGCCGCTGGAAATTCTAAAATGATTGAAAAGTAACATAGCCAGATAGCTAGAGCCGGTGAAACACTGGAGAAATAAGTTTCATGAAACTTGATGCAAGAAACAGGAAATTTGTTTCATCATCATACGACACATACCTACTAAAATGAGGCGGAGCACACTGGCCACACAATTTCTGCTCTCCTGTTTCAGAAACGCCTGTGTGTTCCGCCTCAATTGAATGTATGTGTTGTGTTGTGTGATAATGAAACAAATTTCCAGTTTCTTGACTTGTTTCATGTTGTCATGAAACTTACTTCTCCAGTATGTCACCTGCCTAACTTATTAATTGATTTGGTAGTTGGCAACTTTTCAACTCTGGAACTATGTAAATCATAGTTATTTATTTTATAGATACCCTTCCTAATGTTTCATATTCATGGCATATATTGCCTCCCTTGCTGTTCCATTTTGAGGTACCTCCGCGTTCGTCTTCCTATCATCCTTATGCATGCAAATGGAGTAGAAACACGAGCGGCGCAGTGCAGATTTTCAGTAGTAGGTAACTTCATCGGGTCTGTTCCAACCTGCCCAAGAACTCCATATACGAATTTCGGATTCTACCCTAAATTTTAAGTTTTGCGCAGAATCTTGACGGTGGAATGTATGGTTCCCTGCTGGGTTCGAGCAAAGCTGTCGTCTTGTCTTTATTCAACTCAACAAAAGAGTAGGTATTTTTATTTATTTTTTTCCTCCTTTCTATGGGCGAATGTACATTCATTGCACGTAGGCTACCTGTCCGGGCCCATTGTGTGCCCACTTTTGTTTAAACTAGCCCCGCGGCTCTGGCAAATGCACAGAGTTTTTGGAGCTTAATCTTTCTTATGTCTTCGGGGTCAATAACATGTCTGCTGAAGTACACCGTTCTGATCCAGGCAATAGCTAGACATTCGGTAAGGACATGGATGGAGGTTTCTCCATCTTTCAGACAGAATCTGCACTCAGGGTCATCTACGATACCCATCAAGTGCAAATGTCTGTTGAGCTTTGAGCTGACAGTGTTCGGTGAGGAGTCCTGTCAGCAATACAAAAGGGTATGCGATCGCTTGATTCGTTGGCATCAACGGACAGTGTCCAACGACTATCATCTACGCCTCGCAAGGAATTCCATAGTAATGATAATGAGTTTCATGCTTTTCGATTTTTTTTTGCTGGACAGGCGCGGCGCCGTTGTAATCGACTTCCCGCGCCAGTCTGAGGGGCCCCATCCGCCCCTGAACATAGTCATGAGTAAGATTTAAAATACAAAACACACTTGGTAAAGTCGTCAAAATCATTTTGCATACAGATGCACATAGGTAACAATTTTACCGGACCCAGAAGAATACTGGCCAAAAATCTAAATCTGAGACCCGATACTGTATAAATTAGGTAATTAATTTATTGAATATAGACACTTATTAATAAGAAATTCTTTTATTTTGTTTTTGAATGGGTTTAAACGGAGATTTCTACTCGTTATGAGTTCCATGCACATAGTTATAGTTTGCGGATGAGTTCTTGTGGAAATATACAAAAGGAACTCTCGAATTTATTGAGCTGAAACAGTTAGTATTTTTGGAGTTTTAAAAAAAGACCCAACATCTCGGCATTGGATACCTGCCACGTTTCTGACTGCCCTCCGCTGTGGACCAAAAAGTACGTGAGGCATGCCGCATGCGGAGAGTGTCCCCAAGCCAGGAGTCCGTACATACAGAAAAAATGGAAAAGTCCATAGTAGGCCATTTAGGGGACTCGCTATCTACTACCTTTGATATGTATCGCAGGGCATAGGTGGCAAAGAACATATTTTTTTTGAGGTTTCTTTAACGTGTTGTTCAAAAGTAAGTTTTGCATGAAGAGTTACTCCTAGAAATTTGATTTTTTCAGAGTTTTGTGCGACTGTGACTTTTTTAAGAGTAAAGATCATGTTTTCATTTCATTCAAATTTATATTTAGAAAGGTTTGACCGAAACCATTCACTAGCAGTCTTAGCGTGTCCTGATGTTTCGGCATTTGCCGAATCTATTATCTTCTGCGACAAGTATGATCTTGCAAACTGGTAAAGCATCTGAGAAGTCAATGATATAAATTAAAAACATGAGTGGTCCCAAAACTGATTCCTGGACAACCCCTTGCTTCATCACCCTTCTGCTCTAAGCGCTCGCCCCTATCTCAGTGACCTGTCTCCTATCTGAGTGATATCCCTCATCAGCTTTATACTAAGGTCGTCCATAATTTTTATGTTTTTCTATTAGAATGTCACGTGATATACAGTCGAAGGCCTTGGAGAGGTCGCAGAGAAAGTATAGAGGCTACAATTTGTCCCTCCTCAAAGCCCTCGACGATGAAATCATAAAGACTTTATTAGCACTGAGCACTGCTCCAGTGGTAGATTTGGCTTTTCTGGACCCAAATTGTTCATCTATCAACAGCTTATTGTCCTCAAGGTATGTATAGAGCTGTTTCTGAAGTAGAGACTCAAATACCTTGGAAAAGACTGCTATTGAAGAGATGGGTCCGTAATTTTCCGGTGATAGTTTATTACCTTTCTTATGGATTGGCACAGTTTTGCTAATTTTAAGCTCTTTTGGGTTGAATGCATCTGTTGAATATTATTTAGAGGATGAATGATTCATTCACCAAGTCTCTGTATTAGTAGGTATTACATTCAAATCATAGAAGTCTTTGCTATGGTCCTTCTTTAGATTATTTAGAGCTTGAATCACTTTTTCTGGAGTTACCTGGAGAAGCTAAATTTAAAAAAATATTGCCAAGACATACGTTTAAAAAACCATAGCAATCTTTGATTGATACCTATATTTGTTAGGTATTTCCCAATTACTTATTTCAGGAATGTCTTCAGAACCAACATTCAAAACAATTATCCCTTTGTGGTTAGGGTTTCGGTACCTACTTCTAAACTATAAAGTTTTTTATAGAAAGCTTGAATTGCGACTACGATTTCTTCTTTATTGCTTATACGATTGTTCCATATTGATTCCGGATTGATATCATTCTAGCTTTGCCTTTAGACATACCTATTTGATCTCAATACCCTCATGTTTGTGTTATCCTCTATTTTGAATGAGAAGAGTATTATAATTTCTAATGTCTTTCCGAAATTTTTTTTAATTGTCTTATTCAGTTCTGCGCGTATTCCGTATTATCATAATTGGTTTGTCTTCTCTATTCTATTAATCTTACTGTATTTGCACTTAATTCATCTTTACCTTCACCATTCTAGGTATATACAGAAGCTGTTTGTAGCTATGCCCATTCTGGGTTAGACGCTATATGGTTGTGGATTTACTTGGGTGCTTTTCAATCTTTTCTCACCGTTGGTCTTACCAGCAAGGGTGACCCTACCAGGAGTATTTGCTCCCGCTGGCATCGCTCTCAGGATCTTTGTAAATACTGAGCCCACTCACCACGTCAAGGTGTTAACCTCCGAGAGAAGAAAAAACATTAGATGGAGTTGATGAAAATAATCCCTGATAAATACATTCTTGAAGTTTGAACCTTTGACAAATCAATACCTACTTGAGATTTTGAAGACTAAATTCCAAAACCAAAAACCTAATTTGAGAACTTTATGAGCTAAAATCTGAATTAGTGCTGACAGTTCTGTCTGAAGATTCAAAAACCTAGCAACTTTCTGAAAATAATAAAAACTTTGAATCATTGTACCTACTCCTAATTTAATGCTGAAAACTTTGACAAATTAAGACGCGAGATAAGGATTCTATATGGACCCAGATTTCTGAAAATAACAACAAATTTGAAAAATAATATGCCCGATAAGCCTGGTTCTAAAAGCAGTTTTGAAGATCTGAATCAATTTCTATAATCAGAAATCATTGTGTAATTAATAACCACTGCTCAGAATTACGTCTCAAATAATAATAATAAGGTTAGCGCAAAGTACCTCAAATGGGAGAAACCCCTCTAGCTAAGGCTCCTCTCAGTGCAAACTACCTTTGATGGGAAACTCCTTTCTGGGCCTGTCTCAAACCTAGCTCCTTCTGGGAGCATTGAACGCAGCTGACTAGGTCCAGTGCAAACTACCTTTATTGGGAAACGCCCTTTTGGACCTGTCTCAAACCCAGCTTCAGTCTTCAGTCACGCCAAGTGTACAGATGGTACATAATACAGAATGGCCTGTAAGTAGTACGTCCCTCCGTAGAAGAGACGTCATGATACTATTTCTAGGGTAATATTATTATTATTCAATACATTATCTTATTATACCTATATCAAGCGGGTTTCTCTGTACCTGAACCCCACCTACGCCTCCAGGTCACGCGCCACGCGCCGTGAATAGGAAAAAGTTGATTTTTGAGTATATGTACCTACTTGTATGTAATTTTTGAAAATATCAATAAAAGAGAACATTGAAAGAAATAACCTTTTTTGGGAAAAATGTTGAAGGGAGTTAATTGAAATTTTACAAACATCGACGCGACGACACCTATATTACATTTTTTCTTTAAATCTCAATATTCTCAATCGCCTTGACTTGAGTCTAGACTCTATAATTTATTGTAAATTTTTGTTGATATTCAAAAAGCCATTGAACCTCTCCTGTTGTATGTTAAAAATAAAACACATTTAAGCAAACTGTTTATTTCAAAATTGGCAGATCCGACCTGAAAATTCACTTTGGTGTTTTCAGAAACGATATAGTTAAATGGAAAATTTCAAAATAACCACAATACTTTAGTCATACCTACTTTAGGGATTTTGTTTGTTTTCAGCATAAGTAAGAGTAATTGATTCTATGAAAGTTTTATTGATAAAAATTGAAATTCTGAGAGCTAAAAACTTACTTATAGAAGAATTATTATTATTTATTTGAATAATTAAATGTTGCTAAATGTAAAGCATGGTTTCCTTATACACAAAAATCATCCTACACAAGTTTATTGAACCAAAGAAAAAGACCCAATAATATCGTTCGTATTAGCATGATTAACTTCTTGGCAAAAACAAATCTGTAAGCGGTAAAACCGGTGGTCCTTCGCGAGCCGCAATATTTTTTTCAGTAAAATTAGTCATCTCTGGCGTGAAAGTTTCGCCAACAAACATTCAGTATATACTTGTTCTGTGTTGTGGTAACGTTGCAGATAATTGGCTAATTATAGTTTGTTTTTATCGTGTAATTTTTTCTAGTTATATTTATAATAATGTCGGTTAATTATAAGCCATACTCAAGTGACTTGGTAAACGATTCTAAGCTAAGCTTGAATAATAATTCTGCTAATAATATGGACGGGAATTTGAATAATTCAACAACGAGCAGGTAAATACTTATATATATTGTTTAAAATTTATCATATATTTATTGTCAATTAATACCTAGACCTTCTTCTTCAAATGGAAAAAGTAGAAGTCCATCTCCAACAAGACCTTTGCTAAAAATAAGACCTCATGAAGGGGCCCCTTTGGCTAATTTGGAAACTTTCGACGAGCCTGATGATAGGGAAATTGTCACGAAACCTTATCCAGGAGTAGATGATGGGTTTTTTAATAATGAAGGTAACATTTTTTCATCAAGATAAATTAATTTTGTGAAACTTAATGAAGAAATGTGAGTTGATTCCTGGCAAACCTAAACAAAGAAATTTAATTCAAAAGAAATTACACGACATACAGAATCATAATTAAGTTAAACGAATCTACGTAAAACATGTTATCTTTTAAATACAACCAGTAGTTTCCTGTTATAATAACAATAATTAATTATTATAAGATAAAATTATATTTGCAACACATTTATATGAGTATTATTGATATGCACATTTTCAAATTAAGAGGTACCTAAGTATCTCATGTAGGTAACTTTATTAAGGAAACTGATGAGTTTTTTGTTTGAATTCCATGTGTTTTGAGCCCACAATTAGTTTATAAACTGATTATTCTAGGAAATATCAAATATCAATCCCACTTCAAATTATTATACTATTTCTTATACATTTTCAGATGCTAATAATAAACCAACTGAAGAAGAAGAAGAAGGAAATCCAGACGTCGAGCTTATTCCAATCCGCCCGAAAGATCCTGAAGATCTTGATAATCATAATCCGAGAGTTACACCCAGGTAAAAAACTGTTTGTAAGATAAGGCCATTTTTAGTCTATTTTGATTAATTTTTGCTTTGATAGAAGAATCCTAAATTGTACAATCAGAAAACAAATTGATTCCCGATGAAAAATACAAATTTGAGAAATTATTAGCTCGATTTTTATTCTTGGCTCGTGGGTAATATCTTCATTTCCCTACATCTCAATAGTAATCATCATGATATAAAAATGAAAATAAATAGTGATTAAACATCAAACACAATTATTTCCAGAATTGGTGGAGATGGAGACAGCAGCGACCCAGACAAACGACGACCTTCAGCTGGACAACCAAAGGTACCACCAACATCGAACCATCCAGATTTCCCCAACAGTCCCGGATTCAGACCGTGGGGCTTCGATTTCGAAGTCGGAAGTACTTTGCCGTCCGGAGAAACTATTCCAGACTTGAACGTCTACCAACACAAAAAAACCTTGGCACAAGGCATGATGGACTTAGCCTTGTTTTCGGCTAATGCCAACCAGTTGAGATACGTTCTGGAAACTTTTAGAAGTCATCCGTATTTTTATCCCAGTGTTGTGCTTATATCACTCAGTTTGATTTTACAGGTAAGTAATTTTTGAAAAAAAAACAGTAAATCCACATAAGTATTGATACTTTTTAGGTTGCTGTTGGTATAGGTCTCATCTGGAACGCTACCTACAACGTGAAAGACAAAAAAGCCTTGTGTGTGGCGAACAGAATCAACAATATGACGACGATTTTCGTGTTTTTGATTACCGTTATTAATGTTTTTATATCGGCTTTTGGAGTTGCTCCAGCTCCGACCTAAAACATATTCCAGAGATATATTTTGAAAATACAAAATAAGACTGATCATGATTATATGAGTTATCTGGTTTTGCTTTTTTAGCTACTAACTACATTATATTGCTTTGCGCATTTGATATTTATGAGAATTATTGTGATATTTTTTAAGCTTTAGCTCTTATGTAGGTAGTATTTTTTTTAAGAAACTAATAAATTGTATGGAATAAATTAAAATTTATATATTCTTTTATTCAATTCTGGTTCTTGCTGACTTTAATTCACAATAATACATACATCCAGTGAATATTGCTGGAAAATTTTCTGAAATTTGTTTTCAAAAGTAAAAAAAAAAGGTCTACAAGAGTAGGTAGCTGTTTGGTATTCATTAGGTATGAAAATAAGGCTTCAAACAAATAAATGTTTTCTAAACTGCACAATACTGGACAATCAATTGCCACATGAAGAAATGTTTGATTAACATTGGAGATCATAAATAACAAGCTAAATTAATTTGGTGGCTTTTAGCAACGATAACGTTATTATGTTTCCATTATATTATGAATTTATTCATAATAACGTAACGGACCTGTGTAACAGTATATTACAAGTAGTGATAGTTTGACAGTTCTACGCCCTCCGTCCCCCGGAGGAGATTTCAGAGTTGAGTTCGGAATGGGATTTTAGTGCAGTGGTAGTGCGGTGTTCGTGTAGTGCAGTGTTATATCACGTGATGAAGGTGTCATCAGCGTTGTAACACCAAATACACCATCATTTTGTACCGAGTAAACGGTGTCCCACCAACTTCACACCATTCGGACACCAAATTATTTTCGAACGGGAATAAAGTGTACACCAAACACTCCACCCAATTAGCGAACGCCACGGTAGAATTCCAAAGCTTGTTCTGAGAAGAAAATATAAAGCAAATGTTACTTATGAGACTTGAAGGATATCAAAAACGGGCAATAAGAAAGAACCCGAAGATACAATCAAAATTTTCCTCTGAGGTTTTGGCATGCAATTCTGATCTTACTGAAAGAATAAGATCAGAAACAAATTTTATACTTGATCAAACCATGAATTGTTGTTCTGGATATCAGTGAAACGCAATAATTTCGAAAGTAGCTCAGGTACTAAAGTTCTGGTTCCTGTACCTGTCACACCTGAAAAAGAAAAAACAGAATGTATAAGGTGATTCCTCTGAATAAAGGTGGATAAAAGGATGCATAGACTTTTCTGATGGCGTGCCTGAAGGGCAGTTGGAGATCATAGCTCCTGAAAAAACTGTCAAAAATTAACGTTTTTTCGTGGATCCTGTATTTTTTAATCAAAAAACCTCACAAGTTGAAAATACAGGGTGACTCAGAGTAAATTTCCCTTTTCGAACGCGCGTCCTACATCCAACTTAATATTTGTGGAGGGGTTAGCGCTGGCAATTCACGGCCACTGCTTGCGGATTATCAGTAAACATGGAGCAGTGGTCGAACAAGCAACGCGCGTTGCGCGTTTAGTGTCGAGGCGTTTTTTAAATCAAACGATCCCTATGTCGTGGCACGGCGACGTGTTTGTAACCGTTACAATATTCGGCGTATACGTGATACTCTGTCAAAAAATTTATTTAAATTATGGGTTCAAAGATTCAGACAAAGTGGTCCAATGGCAAATCCGCAGCGTCCCGGCCAACAGAAGTCCATCAGAACGCCAGAGATCATTGGGATTGTGCGACGTGCTGCGACCGAAAATCCGAGGCGCTCAATTCGAAAACATGGCATGACGCTTCTGATTTGCCAATTGCCACATTTTTTGACGTAGCGTCACGTATACGCCGGATATGGTTACGGTTACAAAAACGTCGCCGTGCCGCGATTCGATTTGAAAAACGCCTCAACGCGCGTTGCGCTCGTTCGACCACTGCTCCATGTTCACTGATAATCCGCACGCAGTCGCCGCATATTGCCAGCGCTAACCTCCCCACAAATATTAAGTTGGATATACAGGGCGCGTTTGAAAAGGGAAATTTACTCTGAGTCACCCTGTAGTAAACATCTAAAGCAGAAATTACTGAATAGCTTCTCAAATACCAATAAAACTTATAGACCGTCAGATAGTGACATATTTAGGTGCCCCATTTTCGCATGCAAACCTCGAAGAGGATTGAAAAGTACATCGATTTTTAGTAGGATGAAGGTATTTTCACGGGTGGCTCCTGGGGATAACATATGGAAAATTGGATTTTCCATAACAGAAATGAAAGACATCCTGGTGTCCATATTTTCTCGCAAGCCGTGTTCACCAAAGGATTAAATAATAAATCCTGGCTTCGTGGAAACAAAAGATGGGGGTGTTGCAGGTGGCTAAAGGTTTGAAATACGGGCCTAATGTTGTAAGGAAAAATCGAGATTTTGGGCGATTTTTCCACACAAACCCATCGGAAGGATGAAAATCTACAAAGTTGGTAGCAAAAGAACATATTGGCTTCAGTGTCGCGAATGGGGTAACAAAGGTGAAATCGAATTTTCCATATGTTATCCCCAAGGACCCCAAGAGCCACTCGTGAAAATACCTTCATCCTACTCAAAATCGATGTACTTTTAAACCCTCTTCGAGGCTTGTATGCGAAAATGGGGCACCTATATATGTCACAATCTGACGGGCTATTACCTTTTTAGACACCCAGCGTCTGATCCATAAAACCTCTGTTGATTTGAATTCTCTGTAAATAGGTACCAATCAAGGGTTCTTAAGTGTTGAAGGTGGTTATTTGTGCTATATCCAGAGCAAAAGTCAGCTGATGATTGAGGAATGCAGATTGTCCTGGGGTGCGATTTTCGAAACCATCCGAGTACATTTCGTACACGAAGTTTGACTGACAGCAATGTAAATTAAATGGGGAGCAGTCAAATTTCGTGTACGAAATGTACTCGAATGGTTTCGAAAATCGCACCCCAGAAAACTGCGATGACTTACTACCTGATGGAATGATTATGTAGCTGAGAAGAATCAAAGACAAAACCAGATTGCGACTGCCTAGAAAAGGAATGGCCTGGAAATAATACTTGAAGGGGCCTATCTTCAGTAGTGGACCCGGGAGACTATAATAATGATGTTAATTCCAACTTAACTAGACACTGGAATGGTGGAATGATCTTCTTCAAACAAGAACATTTCTGCTACCGCATATAGAACCTGATCACTCGACTATTCATCTGGAAAAGGCAAAAACGATTTTGCTTGGAAAAGTAATTGAGCATTCAGCTGTTCTTAGTAAGCTGAATTCACTTGAAACTACATTGTGCAGCTGGACATCTAACATCAAATCATAATTCAACCATTTCTCGCCGGCATTCGGTAGTGCCTCACTGCTACACTCCAGAAAGGAACACCTGGAACCAATTTCAGGAGCTCTCTCTTGTGGGTCCAGCAGCGTCCTGAATCCACATTCAGGACTCTGATGATATTGATCATAGTAATAATATCAACCTAAACTAGATACACAAAAAAACGTATTTACACTGATCCTCTAAGACGCCTTTCTAGAATTTTTATTCTGGTTTGATAATGAATTTTTACATTTTAATAAGTCCTTATTCCGGAAAATATGCTAACATGGAAATTGCTATATATTGTCAGCAACTTAAGTAAATACCACTCTGTTCATCAATTTTACTAAAGTGTGTCGACGAGTTAGCATTTATTTGGTATAAATTCAGCGCCGAAATCCATTACCGGCAGGCTAAGGCTAGTGCAAAGTACCCCAAATGGGAAAAGCCCCTCTAGCTAACTCTCCTCCCAGTGCAAACTACCTTTAATGGGAAACGCCCTTCTGGACCTGTCTCAAACCTAGCTTTTTCTGGGAGCATTGACCGCAGCAAACTAGGTCCAGTGCAAACTACCTTTAATGGGAAACGCCTTTCTGGACCTAGTCTCAAACCTAGCCTCAGTCTTCAGTCACGCTAAGTGTACAGAGGGTACATAATACAAAGTGGCCTATAAGTAGTACGTCCCTCCGTAGAAGAGACGTCATGATATTATTTCTAGGGTAATATTATTATTATTCAATACATTATCTTATTATATCTATACCAAGGGAGTTTCTCCCTACCTGAACCCCACCTGCGCCCCCCAAGTCATGCTCCTGATGTGACGTCCCAGGACGAAACGTATAGGGGTTGTGACGGTCTGAGATTGTGACAATATAGAACATGAAATAGGTACTTCAATACCAAACTTACCAAATGAGAAGTAGGTACAGGCCCCGCAAAATAAGGTGGCGAGAAAGCAATTTGCGCAGTAGACTAAATTAGGAAATGGTAGAGGCGCAAGCTATTTTGGTACCTATATAGTTTTTATACAGCTTTAGCTTTGCCTGGGCCCAGAAAAAGGACCAACAGCTACGCCTACCTGCGTCAGCTCTCGCCACGTTATTTTGCGGGACCTGTAACTTACCAACGTCTTCTTGATGGTCCTGTATCATCTATTAAAACTTACCTACTCATAATGAAATTCATCGATCAGCCCTTTTTATGTTGTAAATAGATTCCTTCCCCATTTCGCGTTCAGTTGCCTGAAAATCCACTGATACCCTCAGTAAAAAAACATAGGTTCAACGTGTGGCGGCCATGTTTCTCTCTAAAAAATTATATAAGTAAAAATTGGTGCAGGTACTTTCCAACCACTAGAATTTAAGCCAGGTTGACACGTTCCAAGTGAACTTGGATGAGAACCAAGTAAGTTCGCACTTCGCAGCCATGTTGTAGTATAGTGAGACCACTGTGTATTTAAATTAAGTTTGTCCACTAGGTATATTATGTTTATATTGAAATGTATCTCAAGTAAGACAACAATTGTAAGTAAATTATAGACAAATTAGGCTGTAGACTGAGGGATAGGAATTAAGGAGGAGAGTAGATGTTGTACTGATACATTGTACTTATAATGGTAATAAAGTATTCTTGAAGTAGGTATTCCGAAGAGTTGACTGATTTGACTCGAATAAGGGATCATGGAAGCATAAGAATAGAAGCATTGATAAACTTATTACAATGTCATTGGTTATAATTTACCGAAATCACAATGGACTTGGATAAAAAGTTGATACGATTCATATACACTTGGATCTTGTCAACCTGGCTTTATCGATGTTTGAAATTTTATCAGAAAAATTAGGGGTTTATACTTTCAAGAATGGATCAAAAGGCAACAAATAGTTGTTGGTACTTACGGAATTTAATAATTTGTACACAAATCAATTATAACTAATAATAACTCACTGAAACTCAAAATGTTTAACTATTTTTATGACACTTTATTCTTCCACGACGGTGAATAGTCGACTGATAAAATTAGACAAAGGTATTGTGGGAGTTTATTTACATTACCGCTGGGATCCTTTTTCTACCAACTTCATAACATTTTTTATTCTAAATATTTTTCAGTGTTGAATCATAATATCGAAATAATAAATCAATCCTCTCATTTGCTTAAGTTATATTGTAAAAACCCTATGTTATCATTATACTAATAATTCTCCTTTCCAATGTTAATTATAAGCGTACGCCTCGCCTCTGTCAAAACTCACAATAATAAAAACTGCTGACTAAGCGGTACTGCACTGGTAAGTACCACCATTCCGCCTACGTAAATGCTGGCATCAGTAGTTATTTCTTATAAATACAGCGTACAGAGCTTCTGAAGCTCATTCTATTATTTTTACCCAGACTATAATAATTAGAATCACAGATTCATTTGTTATCGACTTTTACGTTGCAGCAATTTGATCCACATATTTTCTTTTGTCACCATATTGTATTTTAATTAATAAAATAAATGTTTTTTAAAAATACAAGTTTCTGAATCGAAAATATAATTCTCATTTGCTGAAATTGACATTTTTCCAATTGTTTTCCTACTGTGGAAAAGACTAAGAAGACATTTTCTATGGATCTGCGTGTTGCTAAATTCACCAAAATGTTGCACCGCCACGGATACGGTGATTGCGATTCACCATTGCCACTACCAAACCAAAGTTTGTTAAATCTTGTTTAATTTAACAACACGGTTCCTACACCAGCTGAATTTAGCCACATGCGGAATATGATGAAAATTCTCGAATACCTAATCATAAATTTGAGAATGATCATTTAAAAATTCTATAACTTGGTTTATTTTTAGTTGTTGTGAATACATAATATGGCCAACTTAATTAAAAGTGTCTCTTTGTTTCTTTTCAATATTATTGATTAGAAAAGGACCGACGGAAATCAATAAAAGAAGGCACAAATATCGGGACGGCATGGTTTGGTAAATTTTTGGAAACGTCCATTTCTTGACATTCGATTGAGTAAATGCATGGCCTACTTGATGAAGGAATGTGTCAGAAAGTTTAGCCTCTCTTTCTAATATCCTCAATAGAAAAAGGACGAAGATAATTGATGAACAAAAGCAAAAAAAAAAACGTTCAATTACTGCTTCAGCTTCTTTCTTCAAATCGGTATGCTTTTGGTTAATGTTGGTAAGCGACAATTCCCTGCCAAAATACATGGCCAACTTGATTAAAAGTTTTTTCGCTGTCTTTATTTGATCTCATCGATTGAAAAAAGACAAAAAACAAATAAATAACATAATTATTGCTTGCGTTTTCACGATTTCAAGAACCGGGAATAATCAAATAAATTCGAATTTTTCCTGACTCTTGAGACCATTTTTAAGTTTTTGATTGACATTTACTGCGAACTTGATAAAAACTTCTACCCGAAAGTCTCTCTGTCTCTTTTTAATGTCATAAATTAAGAAAGGATGGTGGTAATACCACAAGAGGTTTCAGGATTACCGGATAATACTTTAACCTGTCACGAAACGCGTTACGCAGCAACACCACGACTCCGAAGGAGGAGTGGTGTTGCTGGTAACGCGTTGAGTGTCAGGTAAAAGTATTAGGTAATCCTGAAACATCGAGTGGTATTCAAAAGGTTATACAACGAACTAAACTTTAATACTTTGAAATTTTAAAAATTTCTATAATAGAATTTGCTATAAATGCCACCAAGCGCGATAATCTCGAAAGGCTTATCACTTATTATGCCTCTCGTGTCATATGGGAATAATGTACAGTGAGTTTAATATTTCTTGTTCAAAAAAGGCAGTTTCCTTTTTTCTTATTGAAGGTCTTTCAAAACGTTATTCATTACCCTCTGGAACATAGCTGGAGCGTTTTTTAGGCCAAGCGGCATCCGGACATACTCGTGAATATCGAGGAAGACCAAGGTGACTGTCTTAGTCTGATAATTTCTTGATCCAACATGGAAAATATCTGGTGTTTCACTTCCTCTTAATGGATATGTGGATATCTATATGACTTGGTGTACACTATGGGATCTCATCTTTTGTTATAATAATGTGGAATAAAAAAAGTCCAAAAACGACATTTTTGCGGCATAAAACTTGAAATTGAAATTATTCACTCATTGATTATCTTATGAAAAAATTTATTTATTAATTTATGAGAAAAATTATTGTTATGAGTATTCTTTGTTGAGCTGCTTTCCAATGAGCTGTCTTCGAATTTCTGAAGTTCCACCCCCAATTTCGTACAATTTAGCGTCCCTCAGTAGCCTTCCAGTGGGGTAATCATTGATATAACCATTGCCACCTAAATAAACAATTTCATTTAGATGTTCTTTTTAAAAAAATAAATCTTACCTAAAATTTGTATAGCGTCCAAAGCCATTTGAGTACCCTTTTCTGAAGCGTAAAGGAACACTCCTGCACAATCTTTGCTGTTAATTTGACCATTATCGCAAGCCTTAGCTACGTTGTAGAGGTAGCTCCTACAAGCTGACAATGTAGTGTACATATCAGCTAATTTACCCTGGAAGATGAGAAGTTGATCTGAATGAAACTACATATTTCTTAATTGTAATTCAGAAAGAAGGTATCAGTAGTTGTAATTCAGATTTTTCAAATGCAAATGTAGGTTATTCAGAAAATCTCAACTGAAATATAGGAAACTTATTCTTCATTCCGAATAATGACTGTAACGTAATTTGAATTACATCTGATTTCATCTGATTTACAATCTAAAAAATCTCAATTACAATAAAGATTTTCTAAAAATTGTGAATGTTCTGAGACTTTCAAGTCAATTCTGTCCAAGTTTCAAGCTCATAATCAAAACCTGCAAATTATTTAGATTGTCTGAGCTTAGTTTCAACAACAATATACCTACTCAGAACTAAAAAATGTAAATTTTATAATCTTACAAGTTGAAATTTTCTGAAATACATTAGTGTTTTTCTGAATTACAAATTGGAAAAGATGTAGAAATATATTGTAATTCATTTTACCTGTATTAATTGGAACTCTCCTATCATCTTATTGAACTGTTTCCGAACATGCGCATAGGAAAATGCCACGTCGCAACAGGCCTGCATGATGCCAACTGAACCAGCTGCAAGTACCAACCGTTCCAAATCCAAACCGCTCATCAACACGTAAACACCTATAAACAAAAAGCTCAGTAACTAATTTTTATCACTTCTATAATTATTGCCTTTATTTTCTTGTCCTAAAATATTCTCTTTGGGCACTTTGCAATCTTCGAAAATCAATTCGCCAGTATTCGAGCCTCTCATGCCCAACTTGTCCAGTTTGATGCCGCTTTTGAAACCTGGAAAACCCCTTTCGACAATAAACGTTGTGATTCCATGCTGAGGTTTTGCCTTGGGGTCAGTTCTAGCGTAAACTACGATGACGTCAGCGTCTGGACCGTTCGTTATCCAAAATTTCGTGCCGTTCAGAATGTAGTGGTCGCCTTGTTTTTCGGCTCTGAGCCGTAACGAGACTACGTCTGAGCCGGAGTTTGGTTCGGACATCGCTAGGGCTCCTATATGTTCTCCAGAACACAACTGAAAATGAATTTATTGTTTCAGTTTTGGTACCTCGAAGCTAGAAAATATGTCAACATGTGACTATCAAGTATCAAGCAAGTTTCAACAGAACAGAAAAGAAGATTTTTGGTCTTTTCTTGATATGCTCTATTTAGGAGCAAGTAGTAAATTTAAATACCTACTCAAAGTTACTACATACTTACTTTTGGTAAATACTTAAGTCCTTGCACCCTATTACAATTCCTGTGCAATTGTCCCAAAGACAAGTTCGAATGGGCAACGTAAGATAAACCGATGGCAGGACAAGCTCTGGATATTTCTTCCATGACGATGACTTGATCCAGATAACCGCCGTCGCTTCCACCATATTCGCTTTGCGCCGTGATTCCCAAAGCCCCTATGTCTCCCAATTTTTTCCAGAATCCTCGCAAATCGTCATAGTTGTTTTTCTTGTCGATTTCGTAGGCTTTCGGGGCGAGTTCTTTTTGTGATAAATTAAAAATGGTTTCTCTGAGCTACAAACCATAAACTTAATAAATTGGTTTTGTGAAAATATTGAAATTACCTGGATTTGTTCCGGCGTCAATCCGAAAATGTGCTCGTCAATTGGATAATATTGAGACACTTCTCTGCGTTGTAAAAAGACGGTTTTGTTTAATTTTTTTAACAAATAACTACCCGCACGTTTAGCCATGTTTAATAATTTATAAAAACACTTTTAACTATTGATAAATTTAATCTTATCGCACTCTCGAATGATGTACACACTAAAAATGTTTGGTTTTAAATAATTGTTTTGTTGATAAAATGGAGTTTTGGCATATACCTATAATGTTTAAATTAAATGTTAGGTACGTAAAGGAAATTCCAAAGTCTGTTTATTGAATTTTATTTAAATTTTTCCTTAGTTTTGTGTGCTAATGAGGGATTTGGTTCAGGTACATTTTGAGTAATTTCGAAATTATGATTTTTTTTTCAATCCTTATATATTTTTCCATCATTATTATGAAAAAGTTAGGACTTATCAAATGTCGAAAATATATCATTTTTCCGCAAGTCCTACGAACACAATTTTTCCTATGACCGTGCAGAAAATTTTTTCCGCACTACTACAGAAATAATACTCTTTTCGCACCCCAAATGCGTCCGAAAAATGGACTTTTTTCGCACGCTCTTAGGAAAAATTAGTATCACAGTATTGTTTTGCGAAGGTCAAATTTGATTTTTTCCACAGTCCTATTTCAAAACTTGAATTTTCAAATGATCAAAAATCAAAGCTTTCTGTTTTTAATCTTCTAGAATCGTTTTGCCTTATGTCTTTCAGCTTCTCATACTTTTTGTCTGAAACCTTTCTGTAGAAGTTCCCCATAGTGTTTTTGTTTTTGAGCTACTAAAATATAAAAAATCCTCTGAAAGTTTCTCTTTCCTCAATATTCCAATTTCTCGAAGTTTTTTTATCTTTCAACTTCTGTGAAAGATCCTCAGAGTGGTTTTGTCTTTGATATCAAAAGTTCTGGAAAAAAAATCTCAGAAACTTTCTGTCTTTTTATGTCTTTCAGTTTCTCAAACTTTTTATCTGAAACCTTCCAAACTTTCTGTAGAAGATCCTCACAGTGTTTTTGTCTTTGAGCTTCTAAATTCTAAAAAATATTCTAAAGTTTCTGTTCTCGATCTGCTAATTTATCAAAGTTTTTTTTTATTTTTGGTATCCCATAATTTCTGTGAAAGATCCTCAAAGTCGTTTTGAATTTGAGATTAAAGACTCTGAAACTTAGAAACTTTCTATATTTGATCTTCTATAAAGTCATTGTGTCTTACATCTTCCAGTTTCTCATATTTTTTGTCTGAAACCTTCCAAACTTTCTGTAGAAAGTGTTTTTGTCTTTTTTTTTTTTCCTTTATTTCAACATGATAATTAAACAATAGATGTATGTACCTGAACTAGAGACCCTGAGCTGGAAAGCTATGTGGGTCATTCAGTATCATAATATGAACATAACAATATTAGAACATACCGTATTATTATATTATACAATATATCATACAACAGAAAATATCCAGTACAAGTAGGTACTGTATCACAAAGTTGTTGCATTTATGAATATATTAGTTCTACTAAATTGCAGACAAAGTCTTTCATTGTACAGTCCCCAAGTATCCATCGAAAATCAGCTGCTTTAGCTTACACTTCTTGAAACAGGCTATATTCAATCTTTTAACAGATTCTGGAATTCCATTGTAGTACTTTAGTCCTTCTGATAAGATACAGCGTTGACCAGTTGTACTGTTCATTGCCGACGTTCTTAAGTTTTCATTGGGTCTGGTAGTGTGGTGATGGATTGTGTTGGCTGGGATGAGACTTATTGTAGAATGAGTATTGGAAGTCTTGCAAGAATGGATGAAAATGCATGATTGCAAGATATACAGGGAGTGATTGGAGTGAATGTCCAGAATGCTATTCGGATAATATTATAAGTCTTTTGTTGGAAACAGAAATGGCAACTTTAGAGTATATTGTTTTATTCGGAGTAAAAGTGATACTTTTTGAGACTAAATGTTAGACGAGCCACAAAAAGTGCTTTTCTCCGAATAAAACATGCGATTATTTCCGCAAACGGTGTTCAAACGATGGAATCAAGGTTAAATTGCGGTGATGTCACTTTTTTGTCCGGCCGGGGGAATAACCCAGGAATACTTCCCTCAAGCTGGAACAAGCAAGGATTCAGAGTACCTAATACCTACGACTTCATTCACTTTTTTGACCTCTTCCCAGTAATTAGGGAACTTTAGTCTCTGGAAGAACAATGCGAATCGATAAGAACAGCAATAGAAAATGGACTGAGTTACATATACTTCAAAAGCCTGCAAAATTTCGATCAAAGTTCACAGTTTCTGTTGAAAGCCGCCAAAGAAAAACTTCGAACCATCATACCTATCCAAAGATACAGAAGAGGAAGTTTCAAAAGTCTCGGTAGTCTTATTGAAATCAGCCTGGACCTGGACCAAGAAGACGCCCAAAGGTACGATGCCGCAAACATTACAACATAGACAAGCGAATATCGTCTCCCAAGTGAATCAGCGGATGAGTCTTAACACCAAAATAATGGAAAACTTCAATCACACAATCTCCCTTATAACTCACAACGAAGAAACTATAGAAAACAAATCGAACAACATTTACTTCGAACTAAGTAAATTCATGTTCGACTTTACGCATTTTCGACACAGGAGTCAAGAAATCCGGACAAAATCCGGACTTCGCCGAAATAGCTATTGAGAGTGTGTAAAGTGAAAGGCGAGTGCGACAAAATTCACATTTGTGAAAAAAGGTTCAATTCACACACGTATTGCATAATATACAAACAGTTTTCTAATCTATGGTTTTTTACTACCAATAAAATATGTGTAAAAAAATAAATTTGGACAAATACTTTACGCACTAGTGATGACGTCACCCGCAGACCACGAAAGAATTCTTGCGATTCCGGCTGTGCTAGTGAGTTAATTTTTTCGTCGATTTTAAATGTAGAAAAGGTGATTTTCGGTCTGTTCTCACAAAAGAAGTTAAGTGTTTTTGATTCTTGAGTATCCCAAAATTTGATGATGACTCACCATCAGGGAGTATGACACAATTGACATAGGTATCACATAATCTAACATACTCGAGTAAGCTTGGTTATCCTCGCGAAAAATTGCCTAGTGAGTGCCCTAGTGTGTAAAGTGACTCAGGTACTTTACGTACTAATGCGTGAAGTAAAATTTTACGTCTTTTGGATAGGGCGTAAACTGAGGACGAGTGTTTTCACGATCTCTGAGTTTTCCGGACATTGTTCCGAATTCCGGCCGGACTTCCCCGGACACCCTAAAAACCCAAACATGTCCGAGTAAATCCGGACGTATGGAAACCCTACTCGAGGTAGCTATAATAACATTTGCAAAAACAAACCCGACGAATTGAAATGGGCCGTTAACAAGATGCTCGAACACATACTCCGAAATCCAGCTTCCTTATATATCTATGAAGAAAATATACCTAAGTACTATGATATAATTAGCATTGATGGATACTTCTTCTCAAACCACATCATGGTCTTTATCCTGCATTTTCCCATTCTGTCACCAAAAATTTTTACATTATGTATTCCCATGTTGAGTAACGCATTCGCCATTTAAGACAGAAATTACCAGGTTCATCGCTACTTCCTGGCACTTATTATATAACATTGTGTCACATATTAGCAAAGCTACGCCTAGCAACTTCTACCTTACCGAGTTTAATTGTTCGATTCTTATTTTGCTTTTGATTAAAGGAATATTTTTGGGCGTGGCAATTTGGCGCCCAACGTGGGGCGATATTATTATTGCATTGCTTGAATCTATTATTAAATTTCCTAGCTTGGTTTTAATTGATCATTTGTTCCTAGTCAATTTAGATTTGTAGTCTCACGCTTGCGCAGTAACTATTTCGCTTGTTTTTGAAATTAAATTTAAACAGTTCGCTTTCTCATTCTATTCAACAAAGAATAGAATTTACTGTCAATACAAAAACCACGTACTGGGCATAGTAGTAGTTGTGTGCGCCTTTTTCTTATATGAAATAAAGTTTTTTACGTTTTTATACCTTGAATCTTTTTGCCTAACTTAAGGCTTATTTCGTATGGTTGGTTGGATTTGGACTTTATTTTATCTAGAGCTTGTATCTACTATCTGGTGGGTTATAAAGTGAGAGCCGATAATTTGAGAAAGCCTGAATTGCTAAGGGCATTTCCGTGGATGACACTTCGACGGTGGAGAAAATGAAAGCAGCGCTAAGGCCTTTGATAAGATTGTAGAGAAGGAACCAATCATTGAGTTACCCAGATTATACTTTCGTTTTTGACGACGAAACTAAGTATATACAAGATTGTGTAACAGAGATTACAACTCTCATGAATTCTTTCACTGGTTCCAAGGCCAAAATAAAATTTGAACGTTTACAATCAAGATTGGTGCATTTCCTTCGTAGAGTGGATCTTCTGCCCAACGATCAACTGACCAGTGAACAAGTTAAACTAAAAGCAAATCTGCTCATGGAAATTCTTAATGCCCTAGATACATTAGAGAAGTGTACTAAACAAAATCCCAATTTGAGCTCTATGTTGAACCAAACCCGTCTAAGTCTCGGATGATGACAATGTTTCTGTTGTATCTCGACCGGTTAGACACGCAACCGCCGCAAATACTTCATCGCCTAATAGTTCTAATACTTCTCCCGCCATAGCGTCGACATCTAACACAAATACACAGGCACCGACATATGCTAAACCTCAACAGGTGTAAAAAAGTGGAGAATCAAATTTACGGGAAACACAAAAGTAATATCCGTGAACAGTTTTCTAGAACGAGTTAACCAGCTTAGAAGAGCCAGGAATGTTCCGGAAAAGCAACTTTTTGAATCGGCAATAGATTTGTTTGACTCCAAAGCCAAAGAATGGTACAGATCCAACTGTCATAGATTCGGAACATGGGGCGAGTTGTGTGATTTGGTGAGGAAACATTTCGAGGAACCGGATTACAAACCAAGAACTGTTTAAACAAATAATGGATCGTACCCAAGATTCCTCAGAATCCATAGTTAGCTACTTGTCTGATATGAGTAGACTTTTCAGAAGGTATGGAGGTATGCCGCTCGACGTACAGCTGCATAAAACTGGAAACGAAGAAATATAGAGCCGATCATTATTTACCTCCGTCAAGAAAGAAGAACACTATTATTGTGGAACCGGATTTCGCCTTTGTATCAACCTCTTCCACAGCTGATAGTGAGCTGGAAACATCT